GAACATCGAAGAGCCTCAACCTTGGCCTGCAGAAGCCAAGACGTGCAGAGAACATCGAAGAGCCGCAACCTTGGCCTGCAGAGGCCAAGACGTGCAGAGAACATCGAAGAGCCGCAACCGAACACAATACATGATGCACCCCCGGCCCAACCAACCAAGCATCAACAACCCAAGGACCCCTCCAAAAAATAGCAGACCCAAACATCACCAGAAAAGAAGGAGACTGCTGCAAACGAACAAACCTACCACAAGGACCAAATGAGCAGAAAAAACTCAGGGCCACGGTGGCCCCAAGCCCCAAGGGCAGTACTTACAGGACACCTAGGGAAGGAAACCCTAGGCGCATGCAGCCCGAGTATCGTAGAATATTACTCCTGGCTCATACACCACCTGTAGGGACAGGCCACAAGGCACAGTACAGTAACTGAAAACAAAACTGGAGCCAGAGGCACCCGACCAGCCAGTATCACATCAGCCAGGAACTGGAGAATGGATCACCAGCACGGAGGTCTGGGACTGCCCCTTCCCCCTCCCCAGGAGGGGGGAGGGGGTTGCACAGACGGCAGTGCGGCGATATGACGACATCATGCTAGTTGCTAGTTTTCATTTGGAGAGATTCTGTCATCTCGTTCGGCTTTCAGGGGCAGTGTTTTCACCAGAATAGGGGTTTGTTTTGGGGCGCCTACCTTTCTGGGTGCAAGACCCAGCCGATAGCAGACATAGAATAATAATAATAATTCCAACCACAAGGGGGGGTTTCTATAGGCCATTACTCTTCATGCCTCTCTGAGTGGGCCAGGTTCTGGCTTGTGGTCCCTGGTAGGCAAGAACTCCATGCACTTTGATGCCAGAAAACTAACAGTAACATATCAGCTTGGATAGCTCTGGGGAGCCGACGGGGCTTCCCCCAGAAAATAAATAAAACTGTGCTCTGAATATAAACAATATAACATCCTTTGTAACTTTTTTTTAAATAAAAATTAACATTATTACTACTACCTGTATTATTATTTTTTTATTTTATTATTATTATTATAAAGGGACTAAATTGTGAAATGGCCTATACAGTACTTACATTGAACTAAAATATTGTACAGTACAGTAGTAATTTTTTATCAACTTAAAAGAGAAACAGAAAACAAGTGTGATCTGTTACATTTCGTCACTTCTCGTTTTGTTTGATCTTGTTTTCATCACTTGAAAACATTTTTCGAGTGACGTGTCTGCCACTCTACACAGCACACCTACCCAAGCTCTTGTTATTTTGCTAAAATTTTATAGATGAGAAAAATCATAAATCTCTTAATCAAATTTGCAGATGACACTAAGATCTCCGATAAAGTTTGAAGCAAAAAATATATTGAGCTCTTACAAGGTGATCTACATTAACTCCGAAGATTATCAGAGCACTGGCAGATACTTTTCAATATTGAGAAGTGCAAACAAGACCCTACATATAGGGTGTAACTACACATATCAACAACATGACTCATCATCATTGTGTCGGGGGAGAGACTGACAAAGAAAAGTATTTAGAAGTTATGATCCACAAGACATTACAAGTCACTTAGCAAGTAGCAGCTGTAGGAAAAAAAAGACAACCTTATAAATAATCAAATGAACTCTTAGACTTCAAGGAACAAAGTGGCTATTCAGCTGTACAAATGATCTGGACTACTGTATCCAAGCATGGAGACCCCCCACCACCTTCAGCAGAACATACCTACTTTGGAAAAACTCCACCATACAATGACTAAAGTCATCCAAGAACGAAGTTGATTCTCGTAGCATAAAGAGTTATGGGCAACAGGACTAACACTACTTCGAACCATACATGACATGGTTGATCTCGTGGAGACCTTTAAAATAATAATAATAATTCATTGTGTCGGGGGACAGACAGCCAGATTGTATTCATACATGTTAGGCTTATATCAAGGTCCCCAACCCCCCAAGGTCGAATTACTAACTCCGCCAAGGATGCAACCCCACAATAAGCTGACTTAACTATTGAGTACCTACTTACTACTAGGTGAACAGGCACATTAGGTGATTAAAAATGCACCCAACCATTTCTGTCCCACCCAGGATTTGAGCCCGGAATTCTCAATCGAGAGTCGAGCAGTACATTGTATGTAGTAAAATGTAGTACAGTACTGAACAAATTAGAAGATATTAACCCAGACCACTTCTTTTGAAAGGTCAAATGTACCCCACACAAAGGGCAACAGTTTTCACCTCAACTAGTCACAATTTAGGATAGAAAACAGATGTTGCTTTATCTCCCATAGGGTAATAACCCAATGGAATTGCCTTCCCGCTGAAGTCGTAAATGCAAAGACAGTATGTACTCGAGTTCAAAACTCAACTGGAAAAAATCCTCAAGAATAGGGAATTAAGAGGATTTAAACCCTTTAAAAAGCTACTGGCTTCCTGTCACCACTATGATTACTAGCGATGGTGGCCCTCTGGTACATTCAAGATTAGGTAAAATTTTCCCTTTAATAAACCAATATTTATCTAAAAAATCAAATAAAAATAATGTACTGCCTATAGTATTAAAATTCACTGTAAATACCCAATTCTTTATAAGAGAAAGTATTACCCAAGGGCTTGGATAAAACACCATGTATTGAGCTTGTATTCATTCAATATATGTATGCATATGGCTATGAGAGATGACAGCATTACACAAGGGTGTGAACTTAGTGCAAGAGAGCAATAAATGGAGCATATCAAGTTTAATGAAGGAAATTATACCACTTCTTTCAACAGAGAATGAAACTCAGGATATACAGTATGTATACTAACTGAAAGTTTTGTTGATATATGCAAGAAGCCCAGCATGGAATGTAAATGTAACAGATCACATTAAAGGTGTTCTGCAGTACAGTGGGCTACTCAGTTGACTTGGTTGAATTGTTTCAGGTTTAATTCCCAGACAACGCAAGACATTTGGACACGGTTTGTTAAGGGCCATTTGATGTTAAGGGCCATTTGAGTGTTGTTGGTTAAATCTTGTGAAAATGCAGTACTGTGGTTCACCTGGGGGGGGAGGGGGAGCCTCAATAAGCCTGCCTAACCAGACTGTGCTCTTGATTTGCCACAACATACAAAATAAGGGGTATTGAATTGCATTAACACAAGCCATCCACCTAACCTAGCCAACCTATGTATGGAAAAGTGAGCATTTGTGAGCTGCTACTTTTTGTAGTATATTACCCCTTATTTTGTACACTGGGGACCATAAGAGCACAGTTGGGTTCATTCTCGGCTCACAATCGGGAATTCAAGATTTGAATCCCGAGTGTAACAAATGGTTGAGCACATTTCCTATCACTTAATTAATGTGCCTGTTCACCTAGCAGTAAATAGGTACCCCAGGAGTTAGTCAGCTTGATGTGGGGTTGCATCCTGGGAATAGTCAATTGTTTTATCTCTATATAAGCTTAACACATGTATATATGTTCAACATACTCCCAACAAGTATAAGAAATATTGCCAGAACAACCATGGACATCTTCAAGAGAAAACTAGATAGTTTTCTCCAAGGAGTGCCAGACCAATCGGGCTGTGGTGGATCTGTGGGCTTGCGGGCCGCTCCAAGCGACAGCCTGTTGGACCAAACTCTCAAGTCAGGCCTGGCCTCGGGCCGGGCTTAGGGAGAAGAAGAATTCCCAGAACCCCATCAAGCAGGTATCAAGCAGGTATATACACTGAGTGTCTGTCCCCCTGACACTTGATTTTTTTGGCTCCATTCTGCAGCATGGATAAGTGGCCCTTATTACATTTATTTTTTCATGGTTATTCTTGCCTAAGGAAGTATGTAACTGACAAGAGTTCATAAATTAGGCTTTGAGAGTGTTGTTGATGAAATGTTCCTCTCTCTGAAGGCTACCTATTTGCTCCCATCCCATCATGTTTTGTCCCTCCTTTCCATGTCCTGTCTGAGTCAAGTAAACTGTGAGGTGGGCAGCTTCCTGCTAATCTGCTGCCAATGCAGGTGTTGACAATGTAGGTGCTGACATCTGGTGATAGTCTGGAGGAGTGGTCACATAAACTGACTAGCAATTAACAAAGCCATACTTTATCATCTAATTGAAGCAACTGCTGAGAGGAGGTTATTAAGTGTACATTAAAGAATCTTCTGAGGATATCTTGGGCTGAATAAAGGATTTCAGTGTCTCCTTTCTCCTAATAATGGATTGATTGAGAGATCGCACTACTCCAAAAGTCACTATCAATCTAGCCCTGACTGTTGTTTAGTCATGTCTTTAGTGAGAACAGGACATTGTCTAAGAAACCAACCAAACTTTTCTTCTTCAATCAAAACCATTCTCTTCGTCAATAAAGTTTCTGTTTTAATTAAACTAAAGACACTTAAAGGACAAAAGCGTGTTGCTGTAATTGTACAGATCATCCACATAATACAATACAAATTCTTCTCCTAGTTTTTCTCTTTCTTATATAATAATAATAATAATTTTTATTTAGGCAAAGGTACATACATAAAGAGATTTTACAAAGTTTGTTGGCTTTATAGATAGGAGCTAGTACATACAATGCCTAAAGCCACTATTACGCAAAGCGTTTCGGGCAGTATATTTGTATATTAAGAAAAAGCATTTCTGATAGCATTAAAACGCAAAGAAAATACACGGCCCAAATATGGGTCCTACAACTGAGAATACAGAATGAAAGTTGAGAAGGCCTTTCTAAAATGTAAAACAAATTACTGTACACTCTTGGGATATACAGTAAATGTTTCACACCTAATTTGTGAAATATCTCGTCCTTTATCTACATAATACATGTACAAGACATTACTTTTTTATGAAGCCCCTGTTTTGGCAATTGAAAGTCATATTTTAAATCTATACTTTCAAATCATGATAAATCTAAAAATGACATCTAAAAATGACTTCCAAAAATGAAATTTTTTATTTCGTAAGAAAAATTTGTGTGCAATATAAAAAACAAAAACAATTTATTTAACATACCTTTTCCTTTTTTGCCAACCATCAAAGACGTTGCTCGTCGAAGTTCTTTATTTTCTTTCTTCATATCTCCTGGGGTGAGATTTGGTGGCAATGTGGAATGTTTTTTCTTCTTTCCAGACAATGTAGTATCTTCAGGTGTAGAAATGGCTTCTGCCAAATCCTCAATGCTTCTAAAGCGCCCAGAACCATCACGGGTTAGTGGTATAACAGACGGACTGAGGGACGGAAGGCGAGCATAGTCTTGAGGCGAGGGTAGAGCTGACTCACGCAGGGATGATCTCCACGGCTCTCTAATAATATCCCCATGAATACGAGTGGAAGATCTTGAGGTGGAAGTGAGTTTAGTTGTGGTGGCACGTGTGGTGGAACTGGAAGAAGATGGAGTTGGTGTTCTACTTCCACTTCGAACAGAATCGGTAATTCTAGATAGCAATCGGCCTGAACGACTTCCTCGAGATCCAATGCTACCTTGGTCCTCAGTAATTACAGCTAATGTGTCTGGTCGAGGTCTAGGCTCAAGGTTTTTTAAGTTTTCTAAAAATTCCCGATCTGTCAATGGGTTATCATTGTCTTGAATACTATAGTGACTAGCTAGGGAACCATTTATAGCACTGCTAACTTCACTTCCACTTTCATGTTGTTCATTTTGCCCATAAAGATCATCAATGTGTGTAACCTTATCCCCTGAGAGCTGATGAGAATGGTTTGATGCAACTTCAATCATTTCATCTTTTTCCGAGACGGCATTGTGTAGCCAGCTTGGATTTTTAGATGTCGAGGGTGTAGTTGGCATGGATCTCGCAGAAAGTTTGGTATGATCCTTCTGAGTTGCAGATGGAGCAATGCGTGGTGTCCAGTGCATTGACTCATCTCTGGGTGGTGGAGGAGGTGGGACTTCCAATGTTTCTTTCATTTGAATTTCCACTTCATCACCATCATCACGATTTCTTTCTACATCTTCTGATGCAATGGATGCTCGACTGCGAACTGTCTCCTTTCCTTTCCTAATATCAGATTTTCTTTTCCTAAAATTTTCTGCTTCTTTAGGTGAAGTAAGTAAGGACGGAGTACCAGAGAGTTCAGTTCGATTGTCACTACCTCCACTCTCGTCTGTTCTTGTTGTGCTGAACACAGACCCCAAGCCACTGTCTGCTCTCTCATCTGAATGAACTCCATTGGTTGTTTTTTTTGTTGGTGGTGGAGGCTTAAACTGAGGTGGGCTCTCATCTAAGCCTTCAATTAAGCCTTCCTTCAGCATGTGTCGTATCGTATCAAATCTTTCATTGGGTTTTGAGCTGTTAGATCCTGAACTATGAGAACTTTCTCTTGAACACTGTCTACTGAAATCGTTCAAATCGCCTCTGGAGTTTTCATCCTCCTTGTTCAAGCTTTCCTTGTGAGTGAAACCATTTTCTACTGCCTTAGGGACAGATTTCTTCACTTTCCCATTGACATCCTTTCTGTCCCGAAAACTACTCCCTTTCTGGCCATTAGTATTATCATTATTATTATTGCTGTTGTTATCATCATCATCATCATTATTATTATTACTATTATTATTATTTATATTATTATTATTATTATTTTCTGAACCAGGAGTAGTGGGAGAAGGTTTTGGTTTTGGTCTTCCATAAGAGGAATTTCTTGCCTGACCAGCATTCATATAATCAAATGAAGCTGTAGAACTCTCCATGGATGCCAACGACTCCTCAGACGTTTGTCTACAAGGTTTCTGACTCGCTGTACTGGGCCTCGACGGGCTAACAGTGGAATCTTCGAGAGAATCATCAGAGAAACCATTTTCGTGTTCAAATGGGGGTAAACCTTGATGGAATTCTTTTATCATATTCTGCAAAGGTGTAGAAGGCTTCTTCACTGGTGTTGAAGCCTTGGAAGATTTCCCTCCAGCTACAGGTGCATTCTGAAGGCTATCATCACTAAGAGAGTCGCGATTTGCAACCTTTTTCTTTATGGGGTCACCTTGACTATCTGTTACAACATAAAACTGGGAACCTTGAAGAATATCAGATTCATTTCCATCAGAGTCTCCATCATCATCATAGTCTGGAGTTGGGGAGGGAGGAGCAGGAATAAACATTCTTGAAGAGTCATTGAATACCCCTGAGACAATGAAACTACCTCCTGGACGACCTCCATGACCACTGCTGTTGTTGACATCCTCAACCAACGGAGTTTCATCAAACCCGCTGTCCTTCCCTGAAAATCAGAAAAACTGGCTTTTAGCATATTGGCAAAAATTACTGAACAAAAATGTTATACTGTATGTAAATCTATTGTCACTTGATATCTTATACAGTAGTTTGATTCCTGCCACTAATTGCCCCCAATCACCAATGGTTAGCTCCACAATGTAAGACTGAGAACTGGAGATGATTTTTTCACCCACAATGGGTAATTAATCGATGGAACAATCTACCCACCGAAGCCGTAAATGCCAATATTCTGTTAACCTTTAAAGTACAGCCGGAAAAGATCATCATGGCTAAGGGGGGGGGCCTTCAACAAGCCGCTGGCTTCCTGTCCTCGTTGAGGCCACTAGTGTTAGTGGCTCTCAGGTAAACAAATAGACCACCAAGCAACAATAGCTAAGCATAATGTTCCGGCTTATGCTAATCCCTTATGACATCATGGGAGTATACAATTCATCCCTTTTCCTTAATATAATTTTGGATGACCATCCATCACAATAACCCCTTTCCCTAAACTTGTATAGCATTTGAAGTCTCGGTCTCTCGGTCTCTCTCTCTTGGTCTCTCTCTCTCGGTCTGAATGATATCCAATCATATTTCAACAATCAACATCAACACATGATAATGAACCTCTCAAACTATATGAATGCCCCAAGGCAGCATTATAAACCTCTCCTATTTCTTTTATGCTGCACATCACTAACTTGCCAATTGATATGAATATACTGTATTAGACTTGTCATTAGTCAATGCACATAGAGTTCAAAGCCTACCGGGAACTACGAGCCAGAACCTGGCCCCCCTCAGAGGCACGAGGAGCAATGGCTTATAGAAACCCTTGTGTAGCTGGAGGCATTCTATGTCTGCCATCGACTGGGTCAGGCACCCAGAAAGGTAAGCACGCCAAAACAAACCCCTATTCCAATTCAGTGGCAATTAAAATATTGCCACTGAAAGCCAACTTAGTGGACAGAACTCCCCAAATGGAAAATAAGCAAATGAGCATGACATCACCATGTCACCATGCTGTTGTCTGCAAAACCCTCCCCCCCTCCCTGGGAGGGGGAAGGGGCATCCCCAAACTCCTGTGCCGGTTATCCAAACCTCCAGTTCTGAGGCTGGATATGAAAACATATCCGGTTGGAAAACATATCCTCCCTCCGGTCGGCATTTTTTTGCCGACCGGAGGAAGGGAGGGTTGCCAGGGAGCCTCCGGGTCTTACCCAGAAAATGGTGTTTCATTATATTCATTGCTGTTTTTTTGAGGGAGCCCCATCGTCTCCCTGGAGCTACTTACCCAAAGACAAAACAAGAGGGACTTACCCGGGAGGTGGTCGACTCTCGCTCCTCAATGCGAAGTCGAGACAACTGGCTGCAAACACCGACCCAAAGCAACACAGGCCCGATGAGGCCCAGGAACATTGACAAGGTAGCGAGCGGCCAGGACCTTGTTCGACCTCCAAAAACCCAATGCCCGAATGTCAACCCAAGACATGTTACCGAAGACGGCAGCAAGCACAGCAAACATATGAATGTCATGGGCACAAGGATAGACCGCAGACTGGCTGGATCGAATTACCCTGAAGATGACCTGGGAGACCCGAGCCCTGGAACAGGGAAAAAGGGAAACCGGGTCAACCCAAAGCGCGTCCCTGGCTTCCGAGGCTGTAACGGCAGAGAGCCACAACCGGACACAACACATGATGCATCCCTGGCCTAACCAACCAAGCATCAGCAACCCAAGGACCCCTCCAGAAAGCAGCAGTCTCATTCTTTGCTAGAAAAGAAGGAGACAGCTGCAAATGAACAAACCTACCACTAGGACCAAAAGAGCAGAAACCCCTGAGCCAGAGAAGAGCATGAAGTTCCCCAACCTGACCCTAAGAGGCCAATGCCAACAAGAAAAGAGCCTTCACCAAACAATCATGAACTGAAGGGGCCACCACAAACCCTGGAGAAGAGAGAAATGAGAGCACACGGTCCAACGACCAGGACGGCTCAGGCTGTGCATGAGCAGGCCGAAGGTGAAACAACGCATGAAACAGCTTGCAGAATGGTGCAGACGTAATACCAATGCTGAACGCAAGCTGCAGAGGCTCTGCCAGCGCTGTACAATTCAAGGCGACAGTATTCAGTATGAGATGACAGTCTTGGAACAACCACGAAAGGAAGGACAAGACAACCTTAACAGAGACAGAAGTAAACCTACAAAGGGATAAGAAATAATGACACCTGGCTCCAACAGAAGCCAGACCTAAGACAGAGTGGTCATCCTAAAAAAGGGGCAAGGAATCCAGGGGCTCAAACGGGACAAGTCCAGAATAAACCTCAGATCCGCACAGTCCCGTTTCGGAAATGGAAACAGGCGGGAAACTTACCTGAAGGACAGGGTCGTATCGACTACGCCCGCCTGCCCACTCGTTGGGGATGCTAACGAGTGGGTGTGTTAATTGGATGACGATTTGCTTGTATGTATGTTTGTTTGTTTTCTTTTTTGGGGGGAGTTCTTTGGCTCTGTTAGGATATGGGTTGCAACTTTCACCAGTTGGGGTTTGTATTGTTTCACCTACCTTTCTGGGGGTATTTACTGGTCCATGGCAGACATGCCATACTTTAAATGTAGAGTGCTCATATGGCCATTGCTCCCTGTGCCTCTCTGAGGGGACCAAGTTCTGGCTTGTGGTCTCAGGTAGGAATACAGAACTCCTGTGACTGATGACACCAAATATGGCACATGTCCGTTTGGATAGCTTCAGGGAGCCAACAGGGCTTCCCACAGGAAGGCTAATGTGTATGAATACACTCTGGCTGTCAGGCAGAGGCCTGACAGCTGAGTGGACAGCACTTCAGATTCGTAGTCCTGAGCCCTTTATGTCAATAGAATCGGTTCTCAGCATACCTATTACACCTCTGCTCTTCAACAGGGCTATTTTGCACATATAGTACTGTCATGCCTCCTGGTCTCCTGAGGAGTTATTCCCAAGTGCAAATTTGTAACTAATCTCTCAAATATTTATCAAGTGTAAATTAATATGTATCTTTCCCATCTGCACACTATAAAATACAGATTTAAATATTTTAAATGCTTTAATTAATTTAGATGTGGATTCAGGTGGTAAATGATTTTTGCACATTCTCCAGCTTTAATTAAATGTGGCTGTTAGTGTGCACCAATATTCCACCCTAGACATCACTATTGCCTTATAAATATCATCTTAGGTCTGGTATTTTTTTTTTTTTTTTTTTTTTGAGATATATACAAGAGTTGTTACATTCTTGTACAGCCACTAGTACGCGTAGCGTTTCGGGCAGGTCCCTGGAATACGATCCCCTGCCGCGAAGAATCGTTTTTTCATCCAAGTACACATTTTACTGTTGCGTTAAACAGAGGCTACAGTTCAGGAATTGCGCCCAGTAAATCCTCCCCGGCCATGATACGAACCCATGACATAGCGCTCACGGAACGCCAGGTGATTGTCTTACCACTACACCACGGAGACTAATATATTAACCAAGGAGGTCTCCCCTAGATATGAAGTATGCAAATGTCACACGTCTCTTCTCGAGTTGTCCTCGAACTGGTTTGAGGATGTGGAGGCACTTGGGGCCGGTCATGGGTCGGGTGCGTTGGTCTTGGCGGTGTGTGCGTCATCTGCTCTTTTTGAAGCTGTTTGTGCCGATCCTGTGGGATTGCGGTGTCGCTGTTTTTTGCTTCCTGTCTCACGTATCAGCAGGCGGTGCTTGCTTCCTCTGTGGAATCCACTTGGGCCCTGACTCTTAGGTTGCCTTCACCTTTTCGTCCCATGTTGTTTGCAGAGTCTGCAGTGGTGCAGTATCTGCAGGTGGCTTCTTCCAGTTGATGTCCCATGTCGGACTTGTTGGTTCTCCGGGAAGGGGGGGGGGGGTGTCTTCCCGGAAGGGTCGAGCCTGGGCTTGGGGGTTCCTCCCATCATGGTAGGCAGTTGGTGCCAGTTTCGGAGCCAGCGCAGCCTTTGGAACTGTCTTCATCTGGTAGGCATGCTGATCGCTCTGTGCGGAGGTCTGGTTTTCATAAGGGGCATCGGCCCTTTCGAGACTAGCCTATAGAAATCCTTGTGTGGTTGGCAGAATTCTTTGTCTGCCATCAACCACGTAGTAGGGCGATGGGGTGGAGGCATGCTCTGTTTGCTCGTACCTGGTCCCATGATTTGTGGGCCTTTCGGGTCGTTTCATGCAGCCTGCGGTGGCATTGGGTAGCCCTTCCTCCTTCAGGAGGTTCGGGGTTGGCGAGACAAACCTCATCTCCTGCGCTCTGTCGGATCATCTTAAAGTGGGTTCGCTTGGGAGTGGTCAAAATGACCTCATCCCTCCGGTGGGGTCCTGCCTGTTTCCAGTTCCAATGCTATTGGTCTTTGCAATCCCACTTCTTTCTGAAGATAAATGACAGCCATCCTTTGGACCTTGTCCAGTGGGGTAGCTATTTGCTTGTGTATTGTTCTTTGCTTTTCATTTTTGCTCACAAATGCGTTTGCCAACCTTTATGTGAACTTTACCTAAATTTACCTGAGGGCCACTAATATTAGTGGCCTCATCGAGGACAGGAAGGTTTATCAAAGGTCCCCATTTGCCCTGATCTTTTTTATCTGTACTGTATTTTAAAACCAAAGAGCTTTTTCATTTACAACTTTAGCAGGAAGGCAGTTCCACAGGTTTACAACCCTATGGGTGAAAAATCATTTGTTTTCTGTCTAACACTGGGGCTTGTTGAGCTTGAATCTGTTGTTCGTCGTTCATGTTACATCTGATCTTTTGAAGAAAGTGTCGGGATCTACATCATCCAAATTGTTTAGTATTTTGAAGGTTTCTAAGAGATCCATCCTGTCATGCCTGGTCTGCAGTGTTGTTAGCCCAGTGGCCCTCAACTGGGTGAGGTGGCCCTCAATGACGACTAAGCTCCGGTATGATTTTTGTTGCCCGATGTTACACCTTCTGAGCAACTATGTCTTTCTGAAGGTGAGGTCTCCATGC